GTCTCATACACCAAAGGTCATTTGTTCAAACCCCATTTATGCCTATCATGGTCTGTTTAAATCAGAGAGCTAGGTCGTCTACGCTGTATGTATTCCGTTCACACTTGCGTCCTGACAAACATTGACTACATATTCAGTAAGGGAATATTTTACACGTAGAAATATGAAGATTGACCGTATTCCTATCCTCCACATAGAAATCCAGTTAAAGTAAGAAATGATGTAAAGCACGTTCCTATTGCATGTGAGTAAGTGCTAAGGCGTCAATTTCGCAAACCAAAAACAATGGGTTCAAACCCCATCCATGACTATAAAGCTATATATGAAAACAAAGCGTTATATTTGCACTCAAGTATGGAAAAAATGGCTTTGTGTTCTACAATGGGCATGCTTTACACATTGAAATACTGAGATTGGCAATATTTTTTTCCTCCCTAAATAAATCCATTGAAAGTAAGAAATTACACGCACATTTTCTTGCATTGTGTGGCGTGGTGGCCAAGTGGTAAGGCGTCGGTCTCGTAAACCGAAGAGCATGGGTTCAAACCCCATCCATGCCTATCAAGGACAATTTGAATGCAAAGGGAAATGTTGTGTGCACTCATGCTTCATACTCAGCAAGGGAATTCTGTACACATAGAAACCCAAATAAAGTAAGAACAAATGATACACAGTGCTGTGGTGAGCAAGTGAATTTTGTGAAATGATGGGTTTCTTATGATGGAATATATGAACATAAAGTGGTCTAAGCTATTTGCTGTATGTTTGCAGTCCGGTGTGTACAAAAATGGCTTTGGCTCCTACTCAGTAAGGGAATTCTTTACACATCGAAATTAGGAGTTCCATATTAAGGTATGTATGTGGTCTAAACTATGTGCTGTGTATTTGCAGTCCGGTGTGTACAAAAATGGCTTTTGTTCTGCATTGGGTATACTTTACACATTGAAATACTGAGATTGACAATAGTTTTGTCCTCCGTAAAGAAAGCCAACAAGAGTAAGAAAAAAAAATACTTGAACAAATTTAATCTGTTATGTGCTGTGGTGGCAAAGTTTTAAGGCATAGGTCTCGTAAGCCAAAGATCATGGGGTCAAACAATATCCATGCCTACAAAGGTATCTATGACCGTAAACTATCTGCTGTTTATTTGCACTCAGGTGTAGACAAGAGTGTTTCATGTTCTGCTGTGTGAATACGTCAAAAGTTGAAATACTGAGATTAACGTTATTTGTCCTCACTTAAGAAATCCAACGAAAGTAAGACTATAAACATGTTGTGTGGCGAGGTGGCCAAGTGTTAAGGCGCCGGTCTTCTGAACCCGAAGATCATAGGTTTGAACCCCATTCTAGCCTGGAAAGCTATATATGAATGTAAAGTGGTACAAACATTTTTTCCCTCAGTGTTCAACAAAATTGGCTTTGTGCTCTACAATGTGCATACTTTAAGGATGAAAAAAAGGTACAAAGCACATGCTCCTCTATTGTGTGGTGGCCAAGTGGTAAGGCGTTTGTCTCATACACCAAAGATCATTTGTTCAAACCCCATTTATGCCTATCAAGGTCTGTTTAAATCAGAGAGCTAGGTCGTCTACGCTATATGTATTTCATTCACACTTGCGTACTGACAAACATTGACTACATATTCAGTAAGGGAATATTTTACACGTAGAAATATGACGATTGACCGTATTCCTATCCTCCACATAGAAATCCAGTTAAAGTAAGAAATGATACAAAGCACATTCCTGTTGCATGTGAGTAAGTGCTAAGGCGTCAATTTCGTAAACCAAAAACAATGGGTTCAAACCCCATCCATGACTATAAAGCGCTATATGAAAACAAAGCGGTATATTTGCACTCAGGTATGGAAAAAAATGGCTTTGTGTTCTACAATGGGCATACTTTACACATTGAAATACTGAGATTGGCAATATTTTTTTCCTCCCTAAATAAATCCATTCAAAGTAAGAAATTACACGCACATTTTCGTACATTTTGTGGCGTGGTGGCCAAGTGGTAAGGCGTCGGTCTCGTAAACCGAAGATCATGGGTTCAAACCCCATCCATGCCTATCAAGGATAATTTGAATGCAAAGGGAAATGTTGTGTGCACTCATGCTTCATACTCAGCAAGGGAATTCTGTACACATAGAAACCCAAATAAAGTAAGACGAAATGATACACAGTGCTGTTGTGTGGTGAGCAACTGAATTTTGTGAAATGATGGAATATATGAACATAAAGTGGTCTAAACTATTTGCAGTCCGGTGTGTACAAAAATGGCTTTGGCTCATGGCTCATACTCAGTAAGGGAATTTTTTACACATCGAAATTAGGAGTTCCATATTAAGGTATATATGTGGTCTAAACTATGTGCTGTGTATTTGCAGTCCGGTGTGTACAAAAATGGCTTTTGTTCTGCATTGGGTATACGTTACACATTGAAATACTGAGATTGACAATAGTTTTGTCCTCCGTAAAGAAAGCCAACAAGAGTAAGAAAAAAAAATACATGAACAAATGTAATCTGTTTTGTGCTGTGGTGGCAAAGTGTTAAGGCATAGGTCGCATAAGCCAAAGATCATGGGGTCAAACATGCCTACAAAGGTATCTATGACCGTAAACTATCTGCTGTTTATTTGCACTCAGGTGTAGACAAAAGTGTTTCATGTTCTGCTGTGTGAATGCGTCAAAAGTTGAAATACTGAGATTAACGTTATTTGTCCTCACTTAAGAAATCCAACGAAAGTAAGACTATAAACATGTTGTGTGGCGAGGTGGCCAAGTGTTAAGGCGCTGGTCTTCTGAACCCGAAGATCATAGGTTTGAACCTCATTCTAGCCTGTAAAGCTATATATGAATGTAAAGTGGTACAAACATTTTTTCCCTCAGTGTTCAACAGAATTGGCTTTGTGCTCTACAATGTGCATACTTTAAGGATGAAAAAAAGGTACAAAGCACATGCACCTCTATTGTGTGGTGGCCAAGTGGTAAGCCGTTTGTCTCATACACCAAAGATCATTTGTTCAAACCCCATTTATGCCTATCAAGGTCTGTTTAAATCACACAGCTAGGTCGTCTACGCTATATGTATTTCATTCACAGTTGCGTACTGACAAACATTGACTACATATTCAGTAAGGGAGTATTTTACACGTAGAAATATGACGATTGACCGTATTCCTATCCTCCACATAGAAATCCAGTTAAAGTAAGAAATGATACAAAGCACATTCCTGTTGCATGTGAGTAAGTGCTAAGGCATCAATTTCGTAAACCAAAAACAATGGGTTCAAACCCCGTCCATGACTATAAAGCGATATATGAAAACAACGGTATATTTGCACTCAAGTATGGAAAAAATGGCTTTGTGTTCTACAATGGGCATGCTTTACACATTGAAATACTGAGATTGGCAATATTTTTTTCCTCCCTAAATAAATCCATTGAAAGTAAGAAATTACACGCACATTTTCTTATATTGTGTGGCGTGGTGGCCAAGTGGTAAGGCGTCGGTCTCGGAAACCGAAGATCATGGGTTCAAACCCCATCCATGCCTATCAAGGACAATTTGAATGCAAAGGGAAATGTTGTGTGCACTCATGCATCATACTCAGCAAGGGAATTCTGTACACATAGAAACCCAAATAAAGTAAGAAGAAATGATACACAGTGCTGTTGTGTGGTGAGCAAGTGAATTTTGTGAAATGATGGGCTTCTTATGATGGAATATATGAACATAAAGTGGTCTAAGCTATTTGCTGTATGTTTGCAGTCCGGTGTGTACAAAAATGGCTTTGGCTCCTACTCAGTAAGGGAATTCTTTACACATCGAAATTAGGAGTTCCATATTAAGGTATGTATGTGGTCTAAACTATGTGCTGTGTATTTGCAGTCCGGTGTGTACAAAAATGGCTTTTGTTCTGCATTGGGTATACTTTACACATTGAAATACTGAGATTGACAATAGTTTTGTCGTCCGTAAAGAAAGCCAACAAGAGTAAGAAAAAAAAATACTTGAACAATTTTAATCTGTTATGTGCTGTGGTGGCAAAGTTTTAAGGCATAGGTCGCGTAAGCCAAAGATCATGGGGTCAAACAATATCCATGCCTACAAAGGTATCTATGACCGTAAACTATCTGCTGTTTATTTGCACTCAGGTGTAGACAAAAGTGTTTCATGTTCTGCTGTGTGAATGCGTCAAAAGTTGAAATACTGAGATTAACGTTATTTGTCCTCACTTAAGAAATCCAACGAAAGTAAGACTATAACCATGTTGTGTGGCGAGGTGGCCAAGTGTTAAGGCGCCGGTCTTCTGAACCCGAAGATCATAGGTTTGAACCCCATTCTAGCCTGTAAAGCTATATATGAATGTAAAGTGGTACAAACATTTTTTCCCTCAGTGTTCAACAAAATTGGCTTTGTGCTCTACAATGTGCACACTTTAAGGATGAAAAAAAGGTACAAAGCACATGCACCTCTATTGTGTGGTGGCCAAGTGGTAAGGCGTTTGTCTCATACACCAAAGATCATTTGTTCAAACCCCATTTATGCCTATCAAGGTCTGTTTAAATCAGAGAGCTAGGTCATCTACGCTATATGTATTTCATTCACACTTGCGTACTGACAAACATTGACTACATATTCAGTAAGGGAATATTTTACACGTAGAAATATGACGATTGACCGTATTCCTATCCTCCACATAGAAATCCAGTTAAAGTAAGAAATGATACGAAGCACATTCCTGTTGCATGTGAGTAAGTGCTAAGGCGTCAATTTCGTAAACCAAAAACAATGGGTTCAAACCCCATCCATGACTATAAAGCGCTGTATGAAAACAAAGCGGTATATTTGCACTCAGGTATGGAAAAAAATGGCTTTGTGTTCTACAATGGGCATACTTTACACATTGAAATACTGAGATTGGCAATATTTTTTTCCTCCCTAAATAAATCCATTGAAAGTAAGAAATTACACGCACATTTTCTTACATTTTGTGGCGTGGTGGCCAAGTGGTAAGGCGTCGGTCTCGTAAACCGAAAATCATGGGTTCAAACCCCATCCATGCCTATCAAGGATAATTTGAATGCAAAGGGAAATGTTGTGTGCACTCATGCTTCATACTCAGCAAGGGAATTCTGTACACATAGAAACCCAAATAAAGTAAGAAGAAATGATACACAGTGCTGTTGTGTGGTGAGCAAGTGAATTTTGTGAAATGATGGGTTTCTTATGATGGAATATATGAACATAAAGTGGTCTAAGCTATTTGCTGTATGTTTGCAGTCCGGTGTGTACAAAAATGGGTTTGGCTCCTACTCAGTAAGGGAATTCTTTACACATCGAAATTAGGAGTTCCATATTAAGGTATGTATGTGGTCTAAACCAGTGTTTCCCAAAGCCTGGGTCGGGACCCACAGGTGGGTCGCACAGGATTTTAATTGGGTCGCCAAATACCTCTGCAAAATCTTAAGATTATTTTCATCTGCAGTACATACTTTGTCCACATGGGGGTGTTGCCGTTTCTACCCATTGGCATTAAGCTGCTGCTGCCCTCTCACGTTCAGCCTAAATCTCGCGGGCTCACATCCATACCAAACGAATTTCAAAAATTGTCGAGTCAATAAAAATAAATGAGCCTGTTTTTGATATTAAATGTGCTCGGATAATTATTATATGATGAATCTAATATAAAAGGTTGCTATAGAATAAATTATGGTTGTTGTACTAATGATATGAAAAAAAGGAGAGCCTGTTAAACTAAATGCATTTGTTTGATGTAATTTATAAAGTTATATTTGAAATGTGTAGGCCAATATTGGTTTACTCATTAAAAGATGAGCCTGTTAACTCACTTAAATGCATTAATCAATAATAAGTGCAAAACATGAAGTTATTAAAGAAATGTCTCTTTGAAATGTGTGGTTCATCCATTCAATAGGTCTATAATACAATATTCCTAACATAAAGTGATGGGGAAATGGCAGTGATAAGGTTCAGGAACGTACATTTATGTGCAAGTATGCTCTTCTCGCGATGCCATAACGTGAATTGGGTCGCGGTGGTTTGTCATTTTCAAAAAGTGGGTCCCCAGAAGAAAAGTTTGGGAAACACTGGTCTAAACTATGTGCTGTGTATTTGCAGTCCGGTGTGTACAAAAATGGCTTTTGTTCTGCATTGGGTATACTTTACACATTGAAATACTGAGATTGACAATAGTTTTGTTCTCCGTAAAGAAAGCCAACAAGAGTAAGAAAAAAAAATACTTGAACAAATTTAATCTGTTATGTGCTGTGGTGGCAAAGTTTTAAGGCATAGGTCTCGTAAGCCAAAGATCATGGGGTCAAACAATATCCATGCCTACAAAGGTATCTATGACCGTAAACTATCTGCTGTTTATTTGCACTCAGGTGTAGACAAAAGTGTTTCATGTTCTGCTGTGTGAATACGTCAAAAGTTGAAATACTGAGATTAACGTTATTTGTCCTCACTTAAGAAATCCAACGAAAGTAAGACTATAAACATGTTGTGTGGCGAGGTGGCCAAGTGTTAAGGCGCCGGTCTTCTGAACCCGAAGATCACAGGTTTGAACCCCATTCTAGCCTATTCTGTCCTAGCATTTGTGTCCTAACAATGGCTATAGGCAGATAGTGAAAGGCAAAGAATCAAGTTGGTTTGTCTTCTTAAGATGGAGATTTATTGAAGAGTCCAAGCATTTTTCTTTTATGTAAAACTATGGAATACAAACAAAAATATAATTACTAATTAGCCAAATATTCACCTTCACATTCATACACACATATTAGCCTGCGCACATGCAGATAGAGCTAGAATGATTTCCATAAGGAAAAAGAATTAGCTAGGCTAACATAAAATGCTATCTTGACAAATATTACATTATTGCTTACATATTGACATAAGTGTTAATTACGATATCTACTGACAACAACCAAAAGAACACTTACGGACATATTCTTCCAAGGATCCGATATTCAGAACAGACATACAACAGTAGGTACTTCTCCGTTTGAAACACGCGGAAACTAAACTCACTACTTAACACAATAACGTCACCAAAACACTACCCATTTTCGCCACTAGGTGTCGCACTTGCACCACCAATGGTGCAGAGCAGCAGTCTCAGAACAATTGAATACACATTGACATTTCTCAACCAGAACACTCCCCGTCTGGCGTTATGACTATTATGCCACTATATTATTATTCCCCCATTAATTATTAACATTGGGGAGCAGCACAACTAACTTATTAATAGGTCTTAAGTACTCTTTTACAGTTCCTTGTTTGGCAGTCTTCACCATGACCTTACGAACTCTGTTGTCACTGCTTGGCATGGTCTTCGTGATGAGCCCAACTGGCCATTCGTTGCGCTTCATCTGACAGTCTTTAAGCAGGATGACGTCACCTTCCTGAAGATTGGGTCTGACCTCAGTCCACTTCCTCCTAGGCTGCAGCGTGGCCAAGTACTCCTGCCTCCATCTTTTCCAGAAGCAGTCTGCTAGGCTCTGGACCTGACGCTTTTGTGTAGGTGGTCGATCTTACAGTCTCCTGGTGGAGCAGGTGCAACACTGGCTTTTTGAGTCAACAGCATTGCCGGTGAGAGAACTTGAGGCATTTCTGCATCTGTTGAGACAGGGGTCAGAGGTCGAGAGTTCATGATGGCCATGACTTCAGCCATTAGCGTAGTCAGAACTTCATGTGTGAGTCTTGTGGCACTCTCTTTCAACAGGAGACCATCGAGGATACGGCGTGCGATCCCAACCATCCTTTCCCAAGCTCCTCCCATGTGCGATGAGTGTGGTGCATGAAATGACCAGGTGCAGCCTCGATCTAGCATTAAGTTTTTGATCTCTGTGTCCTCTGTGTTGATTTGCAGTTCCCCACAGGCACCGATGAAGTTTGTCCCTCTGTCTGAACGCAAATGTTAAACTGGCCCTCTGATAGCCAAGAAGCGGCGCAAAGCATTTATGAAACTTGAAGCCGACATTGACTCTATCAGCTCCAGGTGAACTGCTCTGGTGCTTAAACAGCTGAATATGACAGCCCATCTTTTGTTTTCAACACTGCTCCCTCTTGTTCGACGTGCCACAACACTCCATGGACCAAACACATCCAGCCCGGTGTGTGTGAATGGAGGATCTACAGACAACCTGTCTGCAGGAAGATCTGACATTTTCTGATTTTCCAGTCTCCCTCTCAGCTTTCTGCACATGACGCATCTGTGGATGACACTGGATATGAGCTTTTTGGCACCTACAACCCACAGTCCTGCTGTGCGTACTGCGCCCGCAGTGAAATGGCGGCCTTGGTGGGCTACTTTGCTGTGGTAATGTTGGACGAGCAGCGTAGCTACGTGATGATTAGGTGGTATGATTAAAGGATGCTTTTCTTGGTCAGAGATTGCGCACACGCCCACCAACTTTCAGCAGTCCTTCGTTGTCAATAAAGGGGTCAAGTTGTTTGAGTGAGCTATGTTGTGACACTTTCCCATCTTGTGTTAGGCTCTTGAACTCGTCTTCATACACATCTTGTTGCACAGCTTTGATAACTGTAGATTGTGCTTGTGTGTGCTCTGATGTGCAAGGCCTTGTGGAGTAATGCCATTTTCCACAGGTCTCTGTGCGTGAGGATTGAGAGAATGACTTTGCGTATAGTATAACAACAGCTTTCACAAGGGATTTCCAACTTGAAAAACGCTGGAATCTGTCTGAGCCCAGAGTGTGATTTGCAATTGAGGTTGCCAGTGTAGTCACCTGAGTTCGGATCTCAAGGTCCAGGTCCGGGTTTACAAGCTGAAAACACTCTGCGTCAGTGTCTTCTGGAGCATCTGGCTGTGTGAGGAACTTAGGACCGGAGAACCAGTTGGTGAGGTGCAGTTGAGCTGGCGGCATAATCCTGGTGGCGTGATCAGCTGGGTTCAGGTCAGTTCGGACATAATGCCACTGGCTCGGTGTGGTTGATTTCCTTATGCGTGTTACTCTGTTGGCCACATACATGTGAAATCTCCTTGTGGTGTTGTGAATGTAGCCGAGTACTACACGGCTGTCTGTGTAGAACTTGATCCGCAGCTCTGTGTCCAACTCTTCCTTTATTAGCTCCATGAGTTCAACAGCGAGCACTGAGGCACACAGCTCCAGCCGTGGGATGGTGTGAGCAGGAAATGGAGCCAGCTTAGATTTGCTCATCACAAAGCCCACATGACATTGTCCATCTGAGTCTATGACTCTCAGATATGCAACAGCAGCTATGGCCAGAACAGACGCGTCTGAAAAGACGCAGAGCTCCTTAGAATGAGCCTGCTGAAGAGTGACTGGAACATACTGTCTTGGGATATGTAGGTGTTCAAGGTCAGTAAGAGATGTAGTCCATGCTTCCCATTGTGCCCTTTTGTCTGCTGGGAAAGGCGTGTCCCATTCTTGCTGCATTGATGTGAATTCTCTCACTAAAGCCTTTCCATGCATAGTGATGGGAGAGACAAACCCCAAGGGGTCGTACAAACTATTGACAGTGGCCAGTGCTCCTCTTCGTGTGAATGGTTTGACCTCTCTTGACACTTTGAACGTGAAACAGTCGTTTTTAAGGTTCCCGCTTACACCGAGACTGCGTTGGAGAGGCAACGGATCAGCGTTCAAATCCAGGGGCCTCATGTACGAAGGCTTGCGTGGATTTGTGCGTGGATTTTGGCGTACGCCAAAACCCCAAAAATGTCGTACGCACAAATCATTTCAGATGTATGAAAGTGTGCGTACGCATGGATCCGAGCACGTTTCTTTCGTACATCCCGATCAACGTGGAATTGAGCGCACATGCAGATGTGGCAAACTCCTCCCTGGCCACGCCTCCATTTAAATATGCTAATCTATTTAAATAGGCCCAGGACCTGCGATTTACCTCTTTATCCGATCAGATAAAATCAGCAAACATGAACAAAGGTAAGAAAAGGAATTTCACACAGTGTGAGTTAGAAATTCTAGTAAATGGAATGGATGAGGTGAGTGATGGAGGAGTGACACGTGTTTGCTATAGCTCTGACTTAGTTGATTGAATATAACACAAAACGCATGTAAATCCGCTCTGAAAATCATCGGAACGACGAAAAGAAACACACACAAGAAGAAAATTTCGACCGACATAGAAAACAATGTCGAAAAAAGGAAAATATAAGAAGAACGGCGAACCAGAACAAGGCCCTGCTCAGCCCTCGGACGCGAGTGACACAACCCAGCCGGCCGGTGATATGACTGACGACGCAGACCCTCCAAACCGTGCAGTGCTAGCCGCTATTGCTGCCTTAAGAAGCGAAGTTGCCCAGATTAAGGGTGATATATGCTCGTCCATAGATGCACAAATACAAAATGTGTGCACCGAACTAAGAGGCGAGCTTTCTACAACTAAAACAGAGATTCAGACTTCCATTACAGCACTTGAGGGGATCACAACCTCGCACGAAAAAACTATTAAGGATCTAGAGATATCAGCCTCATCGCAGTCCGACGATATTACTACTCTCCAAAGGCAAACATCGCGGTTGAATTCCGAGGTGGAGAAGTTAGTCACTAAATGTGAAGACTTGGAAGGGAGGTCAAGACGACACAATATTAGAATCACCGGAATTCCAGAAGGAGCAGAGGGGTCCAACCCACGCGATTTTGTCGCTGGCCTACTCCAAGAAGTGCTATGTCTGGAGACGAAGCCACTTATTGATCGAGCACACCGAACCCTACGCAGAAGGCCTGACCCAGATGAGCCTCCAAGACCCGTTATCCTGAGACTTCATTACTATCACGTGCTAGAAGACGTGCTACGGAAAACCATCGTGGCGAAACAACTGTTCTACAACGGCAAGAGAATCCAAATATTCCCCGACTACCCTCCGGCCATAGCTAAGCGCAGGGCGCTATTCAATCGCGCCAGGGAGCTGCTACGAGACCGGCCCGGTGTGAGATATGGTATACTCTATCCCGCAAGATTGGTGGTTACAGTCAACGGAAAACAATCTTCCTTCACAGACCCCAACAAAGCCGAGAAATATGCCGAAGGACTCTTTCCTACAAGACCAGCGACACCGACACATGTCATGGACTCTCAGGAATAGTTTTTGTTCTGTCGCTGGCTGATAAGGTTAAAGCTTGGTGACTAACGCAAGATGCAGAACAGCTGTGCCTGATTAACGTTCGCCTGCGTGATGGTAAGACTGTGCATTTTCTTGGTTGAGGGCTGCTGGCATACTCCATGGGGGTATTTGGAGGCTTACAGGAGTATTGTATTTTTGAACTGTGTCTTTGTGTTAATGCAAACGTTGGTATCCTACTTCTTGAAAGTACTTGGGCGTAAGAGTGCAGCCTGCCTTGTTCTGTTTTGGGTTGATGAGTGGGTCTGGGCTAGACTACAGCCTACTTTCTGTTGTGATTTGCACGTGCCCAATTTTCTTTTTATGTTATCTATTGGTGTCAGGTGAACATACTCCTGCCTGAATGTTCGTTCGTTCCTATTTTTCCAATCAAGATCATTGGAACTAAGTCAGATGTTGGTAGTTAGAAGCAGACCATGTGCACGGAAGTAAGCGTAATATACGGTATTTTTTC